CGCCATCTACTGTTTCTATTTAGGATTGCTGCAGTGTTGTAAGATTTCCTTCACTGAATGGTTTTAGAATTCTTTTTAAAAACAAGCGAGGTGTGGTGCTGCTTCCCTGTTATCCCAGCCCTTCAGAGGCAGAGGCAGATCTGTCAGCTTGATCTACATAAAAAGTTCTAGGTCAGCCAGGGCTATGTAGTGATGGGAATGACCTGAGAACACAGAGCTGCCCCAGGGTAACAAAAGCCACCAAGTTTAGGGACTAATTCTTACAGGACTTAACTTATTTTTTAGTTGTGTGGAAGGCACTTTGATAATGCTGCAATCGTTCTTTCCTGATTTAAATATTACTCACTTTAACTCTAGTACAAAGGATTGAACCCAGGGCTCGTGATGTTTGACAAGCATTCTGCCAAGAGATGTGGCCTCTTTTTCCTGATTCCAGACCAGAACCCATAAAGTCCAAACTAGTGGCCAAGGTGATTGGTATAAAGTAGGGAAGTATATTTTTTAATGAGTTAACAATCAGATTTATGTTAATGGGTTTACTTCACTTCCTCAATACCTACCTTTTCCTTTTTTATTAAAACTTTTAATTATGGAATTAATAAACTTAAGCATTATCATGCAGGTATGTAAAGCTAACCTCTGCCCCCAGCTCTTTTGTGTGTTTTTGAGACAGTTAACCCAATATGTAGCCCAAACCGGCTGCAGATTCATAACCTTACTCCTGCTTCAGCTCTCCCTGTCCCCAGTATTGAGATTATAGGCATGGACCACCACACCTGGCTCCCCCAAGTAGTTCTTATTAAAAGTTTAAGAGGTATGGTATGTTTTATGCTAGACTTTGTTTCTTTTATAATGTTTTACTAAACACCAATTCTCTTGAACTTAGAGTTTTTTTAAACTAGTAATTAAATTACACTAGCAGTTTAAGTAATGTTTTCAATTGATAAAAGATACAGCAAGCTTGTAATACATTTATAAATGGATTCAGTAGTTATTGGCATGGACATCAAAGTCATTAAAAGCTGTATGAGGTAAAAGATGGAGTTAGAACTTGAACCCAGAGGAACTCCAGACTCCTCATCATAATTTATTCCATGCTGTTAGTTGTTCGTGATTGCACTGGTAACCCTTGTGTGGAGATGTTGACCCAGCACAGCCGCACGCAATCATACACTTAAAGGTGACAAGCCACCATGCAAGATCATATGAGGTGCAGATTGCTGTTAACTTTTAAAAGTCAAATTTATTATCATTGTGTACAATGTGTATGTAAGCGTGGAAGTTAGTCGACAACTGACAACTTTCAGGAGTCTTGTTCTATCCGTCAGTGGTGGGTTCTGGGGACTGTCAGGCTTGCATTGTGAGTGCTTACTAACCACTGAGCTGACCCATCCCTGTTGTTAACTTTAAAAAAAAAATTTTTACATTGATTTGATTGATTGTGTGTGCACATGCCACACACCATGGCTTGGGTGGAGAGGTCAGAGCACAACTTGCAGGAGTCAGTTCTCCCTCCATGTGGGTTACAGGAATTGAACTCAACGTTGTTGGGCTTGTCAGCAAGTTCTTTACTTATTGAACCATCCACCAGCCCATGCTAACTTTTTTCGAGGCAGGGTTTCATGTAGTCCACACTGGCCTCCAACTCCTCATTCTCCTGCCGCCCCCTCCCAACTGTCGGGATTTAGAGGACACGTATCTCTCCATTCCCAGCCTACTGTTCCTTAAAGGTGAGAGGCTGCTGAGATATGTGAGCAAAAATCAGACGTTACTCTAAAATTTGAAACCAGTTGTATGTGTAGTGTGTACTACATATCCCAAAAGTTCTATGCATATCTGTTGAGATGAGTAATTTAGAGGGAAAAGGTGTATTCTGCATCCTGCCTGTGAGAAGTGTTGCTCATAGCCAGGCTAGAATTTATTTATTTATTTATTTATTTTTTTTCTGCTTAAGTCTCCAAGCCAACCCTCTTTCCTTAGGCACCGGGAATGTGAGCACTTTTATTTAAAGGGTTTTGCATCAAGATAACCAACCATATTGTGGAATAGATTAGCCTGAGAGTGAATTTCCTTTAAAAGGCTAGGGTGTTGGTGGGAAGTTACCCAATTATCTGACCTTATCAATGAAAAGTTAATGTCATCCTGCTTTATGGTCCCTAACAACTTGATGTAAGCAGAATATCACACCTTTCTTGTTTATGGTTGGGGCTTGGACAGCAGTTCTGAGAGCCCTGGGTGGCTGTGCAGCTGCTAGGCTAGGACTGGGTAATAGATTCTAAGGTACAAAGAAGTTTTGGTTCTTCCTTGTGAAATCATCCATTTTTCACTGAGATACAGTAACCAACCCAATGGATTTGAGTGGCCTGGCATCACATTGTGTTCGTAGATTATAATGCAATCTATGATGGGGAAAACGGGATTGTGAGGTCAGGGCCTTTTTTTTTGTATGGAAAGTCAGAAGAGGGGTGAAACACAAGAAACACCTGGCACTACTTCCATAATTATATGTGAAGATGTCTCTGTAACCCATAGTGCAGTAGACTTAGGGATTACATTCTTGGAGCTGAGTGGGGTGGGAGGGTTTCCTACTGACCAGAGGAAAGAATTCAGAACCTGGAACTCCTGCAGATTGTTTTAAAAGGTTTTTATTTTTAATTGTCTGTGTGCACACACACTCAATCATGTGCACAGGTGCCGTAGAAGCCAGAAGAGAGCAGCTGATCCTTTGAAGCTGGAGTTATAGATGGTTGGTTGTGAGCTACCTGACATGGGTGCTGGGAACTGAATGAACTCTGGTTCTCCGCAAGAGCAGTAGTGCTAGTTCTTAACCACTGAGTCATTTCTCCAGTCCCTCAATTTTTTTTTTTTTTTTTTTTTTTTTTTTTTTTTTTGTCTTTTTGAGACAGGGTCTCCTTGTAGCCCCAGCTGTCCTGGAGCTCACTATGTAGACCAGGCTGGCCTCAAACTCACAAAGATCCGCCCCGCCTGCCTCTGCCTTCCAGGTGCTGGGATTAAAGTCATGCGCTATTTTTTTTTAAATCTTATTTTTGAGGTAGAGGCTTGCTAGGTAGCCCAAGCTAGCCTCAAACTCTTGAAGTCCTCTTGCCTCCGTCTCCCAAATGCTTGGGATCATAGTCGTGTCTGTTCTTAGGTAGAACTCCTTCACTTTACCATCCTGAGTGATCTGTAAAGAGCTTGCCTGTCTCTGGTCAAAGCACATAAACCAAATTTGGATAGTTTGGTATAGGTTTGTATAATGTATATCTAAGTGTGGGTGCGTGTGTGGAAGTCAGAGGACTGGTTGGGGTGGGTGTGTGTGGGTGTGTGGGTGTGTGTGGGTATGGTGTGTGCACATGTAGAAGTCAGAGTACAACTTGCAGGATTCAGTTCTTTCCCTTCATGTGGGTTCCAAAGATTGAATGCAAGGTCTGTGAGTAGCTAGTGTGATTCTGTAACCCGTGAAACACAGTGAACATTGAACAGATTGTGGTTACAATGCAGAACAAGAGGATAGAACATTCGAGGTAGTATGCATTACCCTCATTAGGGTACCTCTCCTAAAGAGTGACCACAAGCTAATATACGGAACATGTCTAGAGAACAGTGATGAAGAAGCCCAAGACCTGAGTAGACATTCTCAAAGAAAGAAATATCAATGGCATAAAGATGAATTCAACCTCAGTAATTGAGTCAACTCATAATAAAACATGATTTGTCACACCAGGCGTGGTGGCTTGCACCTTTAATCCCAGCCTTTGGGAGGCAGAGGCAGGTGGATCTCTACAAGATCAAGACCACCCTGGTTCACATCGTGACTTCTAGGTGGACTGAGACTAGGGAGACCCGGTCAAAAAACAACAAAAAGACACCCTCCCCCCCCCAAAAAAAAATCCATGATTTGTCACTTGGGGACTGACAAAATGTTTGGGAAAGCGAAGAATTCTCCTTTAGGAAATATGTCTTATAAAATTAAATGATGTGTAGGACACAGGTACCAAAAGATTGGTGCTGCTTATAGTAGTGAGCATTTAGAAGCAGGCTGTGGCCAATAATTGTTTTATTACATTTACTTATTTAGTTTATTTTATTACATTTACTTATTTGGGTTGCACACACATGTGTAAGGGCAAAGGACAACTTGCAGGGGTTGGTTCTCCTTTCGCCACATGGCTTCTTTCTGGGGATCAAATGCAGGTCATCAGGTTTGTCAGCATTTTACCTGCTGATCCATTTTTTTATTTATTATTATTTTTTTATGTGTATGCATGTATTGCCTTTGTGTAGGTAAGTATATCCATGTCGTGCAATGCCCTTAGAGGACAGAAGAGGCTGTCAGATCCCCTGGAGCTGGAGTTATGGACAATTGTTAGCTGCCATGTGGGTACTGGGATTCAAACCCAGGTCTTCTGCAAGAACAACCAGTGTTCTTAACCGCCGAGCCATCTCTCCAGCCCCCCGATGATCCATTTTGACAGCCCCAAAGGGGCCAGGTTAAACCAGTCTGCTCGCATAGTGCCTGGTGGGTTTGGTTTGAGACCATACTCACTATAAAGGCAGCATTTTCAATAAATGATTAAGTGGCATCATGGGTACTGAACAACATGTGTACCAAGTTCCCACTTAAAAAGGATTTGGAGGGATAAAGCAGGTGTGAGTGATGGTTGGTTCTAGGTTTCTTTTTCTGTGGTAGACATGAGAGAACTTCTGCTGAGTTGCCCAGCAATGCTAAGAAGGTTCCTACCAGAAGAGGCCATACATACTGTTCTAGAACTGTCAGAGTTGATGTAGTTGAGTTAGAAATGCTGATTGGCCCTCTTTTAGTCTGGGCCCTCATTTAGTACCTGGTTTGAATGATATAAAATGGCATCTTTTGTAGTAGGGAAGGACACAATTCCAGCCATTCCAGGGTGAAAGGGAAGATAGAATGAAGAAAAGGGGGTATTCTATTTTTGCTACTTATGTGATCTCAGGATTTAGACAGACGTTGTTTTGTTTTCTAGACCAAACTCCAGAACACCCTAGAAGGTTTAACTAAAAGAATGCTCATGTTTGATCCAGTCCCCGTCAAGCAAGAGGTGATGGACCCTGTCTCGGTGGTAAGTTTTCCAAAACCGAATACTTCTCATTTAATTGAACATTGTATGTTGTGTTATTTCCTAAAGTACTCTCATTGTTTGACAGGCATTTGACAGGTGACATTTCTCAAAGCTCCCAGTAATGAATGAGGTGCCACTGGCTGTTCATCCTTGATAAATGGGCCCCGTGCTTCCTTAGGACCTGTGCTCACACCCCCAGTAGGATCCACCACAGGCAGATCTGGGCAGAATGGAAGTAGGTTCACAGATACCCCGCAGCCCTTTTATATGTGAGAAATACGTTAAGAAAAAGTGAGTGTCTTAAAACCCATTGACAGAAGCCATATGGGGCTGTTGTTCTGTGAGGGACTACTGAGGAGAAGCCAGCCAGAGAGAGAACTTGGCAGTGAGGACAGAGTCGAGTTTCACTTGGAGGAGTCTATGGCTGCGTGGGAATTACATTCATGGTCTTTTTCAACACCTTAGTGCTAAGCTGGCCCAGAGCTTCTAGGCCACTGGGGGACTAGGAGTCAGGCCAGGTGTTCAAGGAGACCCAACCCTAGTGCCATGGGGATGAGACCTGGGTGACAAAAGAAGTGTCCTACTTTAAAGCAGGCCCAGTGTAGACTTGAGGGCATGTGGTTTAGTGGATATTGACTAAGCAGGCAACACTCCCAACCTGTCTTTGCTCTTTTTCTTCCATGGGCTTGGAAAATAGTCACAAGGGGGAAAAACTTGGCCTAGATCATGCATCTGAAGGTTGGGAATGATGGGCTTGCAAAATTAGATCATCCTTATGTATTGACTGTGGAAGTTCCTGCCAAAAATGCTTATACAAGACACAGGGGTCACTCTGAGGTGCTTGGATTTCAGTTGCCATGGATATTACTAAGCCAGAGAAGTTTTTACCGTTGTCTGTAATGAAAAGTCAGACTATCTTTTAGGAGAGAACATTGACATTGCGGCACCATAGCAGGGCAACATGCTTATCGCATGTGTGGATATAATGATTGAGCAATACCAACTTTATTAATCAGAAAACAGAATATTTTCTAGGGCTGTGCTGTGCCATTGTCCATCAGCCCCTTCCTCCCAACCATTGTGTGGACATCTCAGGAAAATCAAGGTTAAAAAATAGCCCTGCTAATTATATCTTTGAATTGTGACTAGGTTTTCAACCAGAGAATATCATTAATTTTATAAGTGGTATGGAGCTGTCAGTGATGCATTTGCTGCCTGGTGTCCCTCCAGTGCTTTAATCAAGCAAGAAAATAGGGCTCAGGAGCCTGATTGCAAGCCAAAATGAAGACCCACATCACCCTAAATTGGAATGAAATAATTAAGTGCAAGGAAAATGCGCTTAACTTTGAAAACAAAGGGGAAATAAATGAATTGGAAGTAACTATTAAACTTAGAATGTTGTAACTTGAATTCACACACAAGGTTGAACTATGCAAAAGTATTTTTGCAATTAATGATCTTTCTGTCCTTCATGTGCTAGTAGTCGACTTTACAAAATTGCATTATTTCATCAAAAGTTAATTTCAGTCCTTAGAATGAAAGGAATGTTTCGGGTTGATTTGTTTGTTTTCTCCATTCAGTGAAACCTCAGTTAACTGAACATTGAGGAACAAGGAGTTGGAGTTTAAGCTTAGTTTTTCCTCTTCAAGCATGTGTTATAAACATTAAGGCAGAGTAGGATATTCATATGTTTGTTTTTGGTGTTTGGAGTTAGAGTCTTGCTATAGATCCCACACTGGCCTTTTAACTCATGGCAATCCTCCTGCCTCAGCCTTCTGTCTGCCAGAGTTGCAGGCCTGTACCACCATACTTGGCTTATAGAATTTTTGTTGTTGTTGATTTTGTTTTAATCCTACACACAAAAAATATAACTGTCATTCTCCTCTTTTTTTTTTTTTTTTTTTTTTGTCTTTTTTGAGACAGGGTCTCCCTGTAGCCCCAGCTGTCCTAGAACTCACTATGTAGACCAGGCTGGCCTTGAACTCA